CTGTTTATTTCATTGAGTGAATCTTTCAGTTCCATGAGTTCTGTTACATTATTTTTTATGGTATTGATCTCTGTGTAAATTTCCTCCTCTATATCCTGGAATTTTTTCTCATTTAATTATGTTGTCTGAGTCTTCTCTTATTCAGTGAGTTTCCTTAAAATTGTTGCTCAGAATTCCTTTTGAGTCATTTCAAGGGTTTCCTGCTCTATAGGGTCTGGTATTTGAGAATTACTGTATTCTTTTGGAGGTGTCATATTTCCTTGGGTTTTCATATTTCTATGGTAATGTCTGGTCATCTGGTAGAGCAGTTGTTTCTTCTATTATTCTGGAGGAGGCTTTAAGGAGAGAGACATCCTCTTCTTTTTCTGGTCTCTGCTGGTGACTCTCCTTGTGTCAGTACAGTCAAGTGTCTGGTGGGCCACCTGCATGGTGGCTGTGGCTACTGCTGTGGCATCAAGCTGCTTTTTCAGCAGCTGTGGCTGTGGTGGTGACTGTGGTGGGCCATCCACATGGATGTGGTGTTTTCAGCATGTTCCTTGCCTTCTTCCAGGAGGGGGATTGTGCCTTTGGCTTCTGCCTAAGATCCTGGGCATGCTCTGCTTCTCGCCCACTTACAGGCAGAGGGGGCTACCCTCAGCTCCTGCCTAGGACCCTGGGCATGCTCTGCTTCTTGCCTGCTTCCAAGCAGAGAGGACTGCCCTCAGCTCCTCTGTTTTTGTTTATTTAAAATTACAGTTGCATGCTGCTTATTTTTTATTTTTGTTTTACTAACCTTTCTTTGTACATTTTCCCCTCTCCTTTTAAACTTACATTCAATTGCTCATCTAGAATTTATCTATATGTTTTAAACTTACTTTAACCTATATTTCTCTATGAACATCAAGAATGGAAGTATCTAAAACATTCTTCTGAAACAAAATTGTGGCATACTTTTACTACTATTCTCTTGCCTCTCAGATTCTGTTGACCATTTATTTATTTATTTATTTATTTACTCACTCACTCACTCACTCACTCTTGGTCATTTATTGAGCCTCTGCCTCAAAACTGCCAAGCCTCAAATCCCATGCAATGGCTAGCTAAG